TCATTCCTCATAACTGGGGGATATCTTCTGTTAATGGGCCATTGAGTCTCACTGCATGACTGATAAAATTACATCATCCCATTGGGAGATGCTCCACCCAGGGGGAGGAGCCAAGCATTCCTACCTGGATATAATCTGAGACTTGGAACACCGCAGGCAGTGGATTTCTCCATTGGATTCCCAGAGGAGACACCAGACCCTTCTACACCACTGGACCTTCAGTGGGAAACTACACCCTTCTAGGGATCATTGCCTTAACAGAACCACATCTGTCACTCCAGCAGGACTGCAGCCACCAGACTGTTACCAACACCCTGACCAACAGGGTGTCAGGTTGTATTCTGACTTTGTTAGTGCATTGTTTTTTAGGTTTGATTTTCGGGGGTTTTTTTGTATTTTTATTTTAATTTCTTTAGTAAAGAGCTGTTATTCCTATTCCCATATCTTTGCCTGAGAACACCTTGATTTCAAGATTACAATAATTCAGAGGGGCAAGGTGGTTTACTTTTTTTTTTTTTTCATTTCAAGGGAATTTTCTACCTTTCTTAGCAGACACCTGTCTTTTCAAACAAAGATTCAACCATCACTGCTGTACATTATTACAATATCTCTAGGGAAGCCATAAACTCTAGACTTCTGTTGTACAGCACTGGTTCCAAGATGCCTCTTCAGCGTGTTTTAATGCATGTAAAAAGGCTCATGTGAGACGTGGATGGGCAGGACAGATGGGCAGGAGCACCAGTAAGGTGAAGATAAGCAAGTACACTGAAATTCTGGGTGAAATTCGTACCTGTGCAGCTCTGTGAATTTGTCCTCACAGTTAACAGGAGCAAGCTGTGCTGAAGTTAATGGGTTTGTTCACAAAAACAGCTACTCAGAAGGGTAAGGGACTTGCTGGATTGGTAACAATGAAGTTCTGCTCAGCTTAGAGAAGGTTGCATGAAGAACCTCATGGCAGCCTTCCTATATCTTAGCAGGCCTAAAAGGAAGCTGAAGAGGGTCCCTTCATCAGGAACTGTAGTGATGGGAAAAGAAGGAATGGGTTCAGTCTGAAAGAGGGGGGAAATAAAGTTAGATTTACGGAAGAAATTTTCTTCTAAGAGGGTGGTGAAGCCCTGGCACAGGTTTCCCAGAGAAGTTGTGGATGCCCCATCCCTGGAACTGCAAGGCCAGGTTGGATGGGGCTCTCAGCAGCCTGGTCTAGTGGAAGGTGTCCCTGCCCATGGCAGGGGGTTGGAACTGGATGATCTTTTAGGCTTTTCCAACCCAAACTACTCTATGACTTTATGTATTAGAACTGACATGACAGAGATATTATGGCTGGAAGCTCCTATTGTATAATGCACAATTTATGAAGGAAATAAAATGCATATAAAAGACAGAATAGAACATGCAAACCCACATGCACAGAGACTACAAGCACATCACTGAAGCAAACAGGCTCTTCCCTTGTAAGCGCAGTTCCTTTTCCCTGGGGACTCAAACAGATTCTGACCTCATGTCTGACATGCTGAAGTTTAAATTTGAGCAGTTGCTGTCAGGAAACTATCATTCATAATTTAGTGTTGGCTAAGAATCCTGTTCATTAGAAGGTTGTGTCTGATATAGAGGAGGACATAATAAATTTGGTCTCACAATAAGTAATCCCTCTAGGCCAGGAGAAAGTAGATTGAAGAAAAGCAGAACAGAAGAAAAAGCTTGTTAATGCTGTTGCTGTATCTTTTCTTCTTATCACAAATGATCCTTAGTTCTGACTAGGGAGAAACTTGAATTTGTGTGAGGCATCAGGAGACTTCTCCACTGCTGAGAATTAACATGATGATGTGATTTGTTCAACTGTCCATCCTGGAAAAGGTGATAGAGAAAAGGATGAAGCAAAAAAAGAGGATGCAGAAGTCTGTTTAAAGACAACTTCTACCAAGGGTGGCTGAAACCCCCAAAGCCGGGGCGGACAAGTGTCTAAAAAGAAACCTTAAAACATTCTGGCTGTTGGTGGCCCCCTCTGGCAAACACTCAGACCCTGAGCATAAGCTACTGCTCTGAAGGGTGCAGGATCGTGGGCAAAACCAGTTCCAGCATCCACAGTGAAAATGGAAATCTAACTTAAAATTGAGCAAAAAGCCAAGGCTTCAGTGATGGGAAATGAAACAGCCTGGCCAGATGGAGACTTCAGGCACAGAACCAGTGAAGAGTGCTGAGTTCTGTGCAGAGCTCTGGTTGATTGTCAGGTTTACATTAGCCAGATTTTCCATTAACCCATACATCAAAGGCAAAATTTTCATATTGGCCTCATAACAGTCTTTCCAAATGTATTGATTGACATAGATTTGTGTGCAGCAGCAATATGCATACAGTAACATTGGTATACTGGAACCAGAACAAGAACCTCCTTGCATTTTTAAGTAGGCCTCAGAAGTGATTCAAAATTTTTCTGGGAAAAAAAAAATTACCCTTACCACCATTTAACAAAGAAAACAGAGACAGAGACTTGAAAATATTTAACTGATGACTGAGGTAGATTTGTAACAGAGACTTCTTCAAGCCCAGTGCAGTGCTGTGGGACACATACTCTAAAGAAATTCAGCTGTGATTCAAACTGCACCAACAGCTACTATATTAGTGAAGTGCTTCAATATTATCATGATTTTTTTTTTATGGCCTCCAAATTTAAGCAGCAACACTTCATTGGGACCCAGGCAGAAAATTTAAAGTTTGTTTAATGGGCAAAAAGGAGTGAAAATTTACTTCTGTCTCTTCACAAATATAATTAAAATAAATGCAAGGCTCAGCACAGAAATTGTCCCCAAAGGCCAGAGATGAAACTGAAAACAGCTGGAGTATTATTTTTCATGCTGGGTGACAATACAAATTGCTAGTGAAGGAAGAGGGAAATATCCTGTGACTGACTGTGATTTCCCAGGAAAAACAAGGAAACATCCCACAGGGATTTTCAGTGATAGCATAAAGAAGACATCAACACCATGACTAACAACTCAAGAAATGCAGGACCTACCTGCACATTCCTCTGCTGAACTTCAGCCATACTTTGCATCCCAGACCACAACAGCTCCTTCACAATTGTCAAATAATGTGATCTCACCATGGACTTCACAGTTCTGGAGCTTCATCATTCTTATTTTTCTCAAGTTACTTATTCAAATGTGAATCCCTTTGAAAAGATTTGAGGTGCTGTGCTTTCACTCTGTTTGGAGATTAGTCCTAGAAACCATTTGAAAGGCAGGGAAATAAAAGTTTTCTTCTGTTGAGAAGAGACCCAGGAGATGGATGTCTTTGTCTTACAAAAGACACACTGTGATGCCTGTCATGTTGGAAGGGAAGTTTCACAAATCATTAATTCAGCTGGTGGGAGAGAGTCTAATAGATAGCATAAACTGGTTGGGAAGATAAATATCAACAAAGCCCTTTTATTTGGAGACTCGACACACTTTTCAACCTGCCTATTCACTTTGTGGGAAATATGACATCATAAGTTTATTTTATTTTTACATTGTTGCACAAAGAATAATTTTTTGAGCGTGTAACAGAAAATTGCCAGTGTGTCACAAATTGAGCAAAGAACAAAATCTTTGATGCACAAATTATCAGTCACCTGGTAGCAGGTGTAATTCTACCATCGTTAATATGATTTCTGCTGAACTGGAAGGGTCAAAATATAGGTTGCTGTGTAAAATATACAGTCTGAATTGAGATAACATATTATTGAGTGCCATTCAAAAACCAGTTATTAAAATAAAGTCCTTACTTGCATAGTATGATGACTTTTGCAGACTTGAAGATTCAAACAGACATGATATTCCTGAAAAATACTGGGGAAAAAATGCATAGTGAAATGACATGCAGTGCTTTGAAATAGCTTTGAAATGTAGGGTTTTAACCAAATTACATGAAACTACCAAGGTCCTTCATGTCAGGACATGAGGAAGCTCTAAATTGTGGTAAAAGCTATTACTTTAGTCACTGTAATCAAAAATTGAGAAAAAAGGAAAGACATCTCTTTCTAGAGCTGTCTTCAGAGAGGGAAATGGAAATGAAAATCTTATCTGTGAAGTCAAACTGAAGTTGCCTGGACTCTGCAGAGTATAAAAGAGAAGGAGCCTGTCACTCCAAGTGAACAGAGAGCCCATGATCTGCAAGGTGGAGGGTGGATTTCTCTAAGCTGACCCCAGATTCTCCAGATGCTTGCCTTCAACTTCTTCTGGGTTTGAACTGCGTTTAGATTTGGCTTCTGTTTCTAGATCATGAGTGTAAACAGGAGGTCTCACACATCCTGCAGTGATGGTTGGGTGTGTGGGATGTCAGCCTACATCATCACCTACTTTCTTGTCCCAAACAAGAGGGGAAAAGTCTGTCAGGGAAGTGTTTTTGCAACATGATGGGCTGCTAGGGTGCTCTCCCCATTCCAGGGGTCATGATTTATAGCAGCTAGGTGCCAGAAATGGGTGGGATGTGCCCCTGGAAAAGCCTAAGGCAAGCTCAGTGTCTGCATCCAAAGGGGCCTGAGCAATGGGAGGGTGTGAGGGAGGCTCACAGGCTCCAGGTTCAGAGCCAACTTTATCTTACAGTCCCAGCTGTCACAGCTTTGTGACAGGAAGTTATAATTGACATTGTGGTGTCCCACCAGGAGCAGAGAAAGCATTTCCAGAGGGTGATACTATCCTACACAATGTGGATATCAGCTTCCCTCCCTTGGAAGCAAGGGAGGGTGTAAGGAGGTAACGTGCTCACATGGCCAGGATTTGTGGCAAACTTGAAAGTCTCTCTTCAGCAGCAAAAAGAAAACACAGCTCTGCCTACATGTAGTTCTACACTGTGGATTGAGCTGTCAAAATACTTCCCACAGCTGAGACCTGGAAGAAGGAAAACACTCTGTTGCTGCTGAGACCTATTACTGGAACAAATAATGTGCCATGTTTTGCAGTTACAATAATTACAAGCATCAAACATCTCTCAAACAACTTGCATTTCTTTTCTTTCCACAGATTTTCCAAGCTGTAAATGTTGAATAAGCAGATAACTCCTCAGATGGAAATTTGGGAGATTTGTTGGCATCTGTTTGTAGTTTAACAAGGATAAGTTTGCTAATGGAGGCTGAAGAGGAAATGAATGTGGAAGGACAGCTGGCTAAAACTGCAAGTGATGCTTTTCATCAGCACAGAACTGATGTAACAAAGGGTGTTCTGTCACTGGGTCAGAGGATTTGTGATTGCTAGGTTTGGAGCATAGATAAGAGCTATAATCAGGCAAAAGTTCAGCCCTAGGATTTAGCTATAGCCTTTGCTGTTCTGCCTTGGGTGTCATTTAGATTAATTCAAAACCTGTTTTTTGTCCTGCATGACACAGATTGCAGGAGCAGATTCCCTTGGGTTTTCAGTCAGTGTATGTCAAAACCATGTCTCCACATTTTTGGGTGATGAGTTCAAAATAATCTCATGCCTAATGCCAGTGATTAATTTTGTGATTATTCAACATGAAATGCCCTCAGGTGTCAGATTTCCAGAGGGATTATATACTCACAAATTAAATGATCCAGTAGCTCTAAAATACTGCTATAAAACCATAGGAAGATCATATTAAACCTAGAGAAATTCAGCAAGACATATCTGAGCTAACTATCCATCATTCCTTCTAGTAAATAAAGGATCTTTTAGACCAACTTCTACAAAGTGCATTATCTAATTTAACAGGGAACTGAAACATTTGTCACAATGTGGAAAAAAATAAGGTACTTTTAGAGTTTAAGTTGATTTTCATTGTGTCTGTTAAGATTTTCTTTCCCCTGATTGTTAACTTAGGAGCACTTGAGCACCCTACAGCAGTGTCCTAACCATTTCACTTAACATAGGATAGGAATTAACACAAGCATAAATTTAAATATTTCAAAAATAACATGATTACCTGCTGTTTTATTGGTTTCTGTGTTACCTCTGTCAGATCAGAATTTGATTTCCAATGTCTTCAATTCTTCAATTTTGTAACCTGGTTTTCAGGAGCAGCAGGTTTTGTCCTTGTTTCTCTGCAAGGCACACAGTTGTGCCTCTGGCTTTTTGCTGGAATATCCAAGCATTAACTAAAATTTTTCAACAGTTAAAACTCAATGAAATCAGATGCACATGTTTGCATGTTTAGGTAGGAATTCCCACAGCACAAATATGTTTGCACTGCACATTTATGTTCATGATTATATACATCCAGAAATAGCACAAATATATTTGATAGAATCGAAGAATGGCTTGGGCTGGAAGAGACCTTTAACATTACCTGGTTCTACCACCCCTGCCATGGGCAGGGACACCTTCCACTATCCTAATTGCTCCAAGCTCCATCCAACCTGAACCTGAACATTTCCAGGGATGGGACATCCACAGCTTCTCTGGGTAACCTGTGCCAGGGCCTTGCCACCCTCACAATGAAGAATTTCTTCACAATATCCAATCTAAACTTACTCTCTGTCAGTTTGAATCCATTCCCCCTTGTCCTGTCCCTCCAGGCCCTTGAGAATAGTCCCTCTCTTCCTGTAGGTTCCCTTCAGGTACTGGAAGGCCACAATTGGGTCATCCCAAAGCTGCCTCTTCTCCAGGCTGAGCAATCCCAGTTCTCACAGCAGAGCTCTTCCATCCCTCTGATCACCTTGGTGTCCCTCCTCTGCACTTGGTCCAGCAGCACCATGTCCTTCCTGTGCTGGGACTCCAGGGCTGGATGCAGCTCTGCAGGTGAGGTGTCAGCACAGGGGAGCAGAGGGGCAGAATCCCCTCCCTTGATAAATTGGAAAACTAAGGAAGAAAATAATACATTTTGTGAATATTTTACTGCCTCATCCATCTAAGACTAAGAGTTAATTTTCAGAAGTTTCCCTAATCCCACAAACCATGATTTTCCAGTGTGTTCTAGATGTTTGAAGATTTAAAAAGCTCAGATGCCACTACTCTGAAGTTGTATCAGCACATGGGTGCTTCCCCTCTTCATTCCAGACATATATAACATTTCCATTCTTTGCCTGACTGCATCTTTTTCACTAATTCTGACTGTTCTGAGGCTTCAGATGCCTTCAGTCCCTTCATTTTACCAACTGAAGAATTTTTTTGGACATGATGCCAGAGAACAGTCAAAAAATATTTCAATTTCCTGTCATTAAGGTAGTCAAGGCTAATATAATACTATATTTTCTTATGGGAAAAGTAAGCATAGCTGGTAAAACACATAGAAGTAAAATTTGTATGTGATTTGATTTTTTGTCATCTCCATATACCATATTTTTCTTTTCTCTTGCTGTTTCACTCCCACCTATTCTCACAATCTGCAAATTACTTTAGTCTGGGATATTTCCTGTGCAGTAACTGCATTTCATTGGCTGCCAATTCAGTTTTCTTTTTCTGCACTTGCATTTGTATTTAGGAAACATGATGAAAATTAATATCATAATTATACCATTCAAACAAATAACATAAATTAAATCTGTGTCTAGCCAGCCAAAAATATCTGTGATATTGCTGTCATTGGAGTGTATTTTTTTTTTTCTTCTCCAGTAGCATCATAAGACAGTGTTGTGGTTTAACCCCAGCCAGCAGCTGAGCACCACAGAGCCACTCGCTCAGGGCCCATCCCAGTGATAACTCTTTACCAGATGAAACCTGGGCAGACACTGGAAAAAACTGCTTCCTGTGTTATTCCATGGACAAGTACTCCACAAAGGAAGAACAACACACAAACTCTTTTCCTTTTTAAGCATCATCTTTTAACTTTCTCATAAAGTTACTCTGATTTCCTTAAAGCTCTTACAGAAGATTTGACACTGTTCATCTTGAACAAACTTCTAACCAAACAAGGCACTAAACCCACACACTTCCTTTTGTATTTGCTCAGTTGCAATATCCTTTTTACCTAAACTTTAACATTCTTGTGTTCCACCGCCACAGGAAGGCATCTCATATTTCCTCAGAAGGTCTACATTGTGCTATTGTTTCTATGTTGATGTTTCATTGACTGGGCTTGAACCATGCTCCTAAATTCTGTCCAAAAAACTCACTGAGGGCTTCAAAGGAAGCAAAGAGGTCACACTTACACTAATATCACAAGTATTATGATGAATATTATATGTTAAATACTTTTTGGCTATGTATGTACTTTTCCTCTTGCTAGCAAGTTTTAAGCTTAAAGGAATTTCGTAGTACAAGGCAAGGTAACTCCAACAGGCAAGACAATGGGAGGACCAAGCACTTACTCACTTTGCAGAAGGTGTTTGAAACCAGTTGGCTGTGCAACTCTGTGCTAGAATGAGCCACAAAGAAATTGCATCTTCCCCAGAGCAGCCATTTGTTATCAAACAAATCTATGCTTAACCCACTGAAGTCATTAATCACTCCCAGCCTCCCATGTCAGACTTCCTAATGGCTTGGGCAACTGCTTTGAGAAGTCTCTCATCATTTCCTGTCAAATTGTCTCTAAAGTACATCCAGGGTAATTGAGAGATCAGCTGCTTATCCCATATACCTTTTGAACTGCAGAAACTAAGGACTTTGTTGTTCATTAAATTACAATGTAGTTGTTTTGTTGCAGAATATCAGATTAAATTGATCAGTTTAAGTTATTGCTTGTGCTGGGATCTGAGCAAATTGCTGTCCAGGCTATTTTCACATTCCCATTTAATTTGGATGGTGATTTAATCGCTGTAGTACAAACCCCTTTTATTTCAGAAGGGCCTGCTTGGATTTTTTTAAAGTCTAAAGTCTATGATGAGTTCAGACAAATCATAATAAACCTTTCTTCCAAGGAAGTAAACAATGCCATTGGATTTGATGCTATTCTAATTACATTATTAAAATAATGACAGTTTATTTGTAGGACAGGTAACCGTAAAAAGCAATGTCCATGTGTTGAAGGTTAGGATTTTTTCCTTTTTTTTTTTTTTTTTTTTCTTTCCTTTGGGGAAATTTTCCTCCATTTGTTGCCTAAGAGATTGGAATGAGGGCACTTAAGAGATGAAAGTTGTGCCCAGGATGGGGAGGAGGGAGGGGTGCCTGGCTGTAGTTTCTTAGCTGGGGAGCGGGTTTGGTATCTGGAGGGGTTTTCTCCTGGGAACTGCAGAGATACTGTGAGGCTTGGCTGGGAGTCAGGGCTTGGCTGGGAGTCAGGGCTTGGCCTCAGCCCTCTCTCACTCTTGGGACCAGACTGGAGGCAGTTTCATGGTTTTGGTGCCGGACTGCTGCTGCCCAGAGGATTCACTGCCACTGTACAGTTCTGCTCTTCACTGCTTCTCCTTACCGAGGATGAGCCTCTGCTTGCAGGAGCAGCCACTGAACTGAGACTTCTCCATCATCTGACCTCCCTGGGAAGGACCCTCACCATCTGCTTGGATGCCTTGAGGGAAGCCCAGAGCCCTACCCATTCCCCCACCTCCCGGCTGCTTGCGAGAGCGCAGCCACCAGTGCCCAGCCCTGCTGTTTCCTGCCACTGATTCAGATTTTCTGCTACACTTTAACCTGATACCCCGTGTCCACCTTGATGCCCACTGCTCCTGCCACCGCTCCGGGGGTTTTGCTACGCTTTGTTTGCTATCCTGGGTGCGGTCGTCGCTGCCGTTCCAGCTGTGGCTCCGAGGTTGCTGCTACAGCCCATCTCGCCATGCAGAGGGGCACCGGGACCGGCTGCCCCCGTGGGTTTGCAAAGGCAGCGCCTTTTCCATCCCGCCCGNCCGCCGCGGCGGCCGTGGGTTGCGGTGCGGGGGGCTCGGGGAGCGGCTCCGAGCACCCCCCGGGCCGGGCGGCGGCGGAAGGTCGGGGGCTCCTGGCTTTGTTTATGGCTGTGAGCTGCGGTGAGACACAGCCCTGGCAGTCTTTCGGAAGGTCCCTGGGAACGCTGGAGCTTGGGCTCGCAGGTTTTACTCCCTGCGTGAATGTTCAGTGTTTGTGCAGACACTGCTCTCCTTCTCTTCCAGTCTGGAATAGCGATCTCAGGTAACTGGAGTTGGCTGTAAATGTGGTTCCTGTGGTCTCACTGCTGTAAGCTTTATTCACGCAATTAAAATCTTCATGCATGAGTAAAATATATTTTTTGCAGAATGATTTTGCATGTTCCACCCTGAAGTGCACAGTCTCCGATGGCTCCTGCAGGAGATGGGCTTGTCCCTTTCAGTGTGTGTGTGTGTGTGTGTGCACGGTCGCTGTTAGTTTTGGCAGCTGGTTAGTGATCATTGGTAAAGGTCGGGTGTCTTCGTGTTCTTCAGGAATGCATTAGGCTGGATGTGTGCCTGCGTTTTGATATTGCAGAAGCAACAAGAAAGAACAGCCTTAAAAAAAAGGTTAAAGGAAATTGTTAACTTTCCTAATGCTTATCATTTCCAGCTAGCATACTTGTAAGCAAGTCATTGCAGGAAACAATCAGGTTTTGTATTTACTAGCATGTTGACAAATAATAAAAGATAGGTCTAAACCTAAATTTTGATGCTTCATTTAAAATAAATTCTTGTCATTTTTCTGTCTCTCACACCTGTTAGCTTTTAGGGAAAGATGATTATAAGGTGATGATTAGGCAGCTTTCTTACAACTTTAATTAAAGTAATAGTTCCCCATAGGCCAGCTATAGAATAATGGACCCACTTGTTGTCTAGTACATTGTTGAATTTAGAGCTGTGGTACTGCCTGGCAAAACTGTTCTTTGTCTTTTTAACTTTTGTAGCCAAAGCAGAGCTAAAACTTCATTCTAGGAGTCAGGTGAATACAGTATATAAATCTAGTTCCTCTTATTATGAAATTATTATGTATTGACAGGGATTTCATATCTATAATATACATAGTTGATTGACTTAATGCTTCATCTCACTGTATCTTATTAATAATCTAATTAGGGGAAAATTCTGGAAGGAATATGGAATTAAGACACAGTCCCAGTGGAACTCACTGAAAAAGACATTGCAGAGCAGACAGAGTGTAAAAGGAATTTCCAGAAGTATTTACCCATCACCGAAGACAGAGCTAAATTTTGAACACTCCTAGCTTGTATTTAGTCTCCTGAGTTAATTGCTAGATTTTCAGGTCTTCTTTTCAGGATTCAAAGTTTTATATCCAGAGTGCTTTGGGAGACAGTGAGGGAGATGTGTCTTTTGTAAGCCAAATTCTCAATCTTCAGTGCGTAAGAAAATCACACCTTGAGCACTTAAAAAAATCTGATCCTTGGGTTGCAGTCACCACTCCTACCACTTCCATTCTGGAGGCACTTCTAATTTTTACAACTGAT